GGTGGGGGGGGGGGGGGGGGGGGGGGGGTGGGGGGGGGGGGCGGAATGACTGCGGATGGCGCCACTGAGCCTGATGAAGGGGACCCTGACATGTGCTAGTAGCAGGATCACCAGGTGAAGATAAACAGAAAAAAGAAACTAATGCAACTCCTACATCTAATAACTAATAAGCTGCAACATAAGTAAAAATTGTCTAAAATGGCTATTCCTCCTTGAATCTTGGTGACCTTTGTGTATTTCTTCTAGATCTGTGTAGTAGTCCAGCATAAAACCTTGACATTGTGCAGAAGCTTCCTGTAATAAAGACCGGTCACTGCTGCTATCTCTCCTTGTGCAGGGTGACTGGTCTTGTCTCCACCCCCTCCTGTAGATTTTTGCAGGCAGCCTGTAGTGGGTGGTGCTGGGCTCCTCCTACAGCTCTGCACAGCCTATGTACAGCACTGTGATGATGTCACCAATATTTTTTACAAGTTAATATCTGTCATCTGGTGTGCACAAAGTGGATTTATATCTTTTGTGGTTACTAAGGAATACGTTTACATGAACATTTTTGTGGCTGAAGTACAGCTTTAAACATTCTCTACTTTATTAAACATTATTAAAAAAATTGGGACTCTAGTCAAAACTTTTTTGCAGTGCAAATAACAACTTTTGTTTGTTTTTTAATGCTGTCAGTGGGGACATAGACAGCAATAAAAATGTTCTAAAACAATTAAAAACGTTATTGCTTAACTTCTAATTTAAGTAAAAGCTGCAGAATTCTGGTACTAATTTTTTGCCAAGGCCTCCTTATATAGCTTATGAATATAGCAAATATAATTGTGGCACAAGCCATATTGTAATTTAATGTTACAATATAGGGATAGACTACTACCAAAAGACTGAATTCTGTCATAAAATCAAAAGGAGCTGCAACAAAGTATTAGTTTAAGGGTGTGCATCTTTTTAAAACCACATTATTGTACGTTTTTTATTTATTCCCCCTTTAACGATTTCAGTTTGTTTTTAATTGAATTGCACACATTATAGGCCACATTAAAGGTAGAAAATAAAAAAGTGATTTATCTTGGTCTGATTTTTTTTTACATCTCAAAAACCTGACATTTTTACAGGGGTGTGTAGAATGTTTTATGTTTCTCTTCTAAAAAATACCATCATTTTTTGGGGTACATGAAAATCGCAGCATATGAATGACTAAAACGAGTATATATAAAGTCCTCAGGGGCAGGGCCATCCTTACCATCTTGTCTTGAATTGTATTGTGATTGTAATGTCTTCCTTATATTGTAAAGCGTTGCGCAAACTGTTGCCGCTATACAAATCCTGTATAATTATAATAATAATAATATATTTCACCTGATTTTTTTTATTACAGCACACATTGATCACATATTTATTATACCTGAAAAATTAATTTACTAAGTTACTGAACCTAACCTCAATTTTACTCCTAACCAATAGACTGAACTCCTTACCTCAGCCTAATCCCTATCACTAACCCTAAACCTCTTAAGTATTAAATATGAAGTTACCACACAATAAATATTAATGCATAAGTAGTCGCAGCAATTATAGTATCATGCTGAAAATATAATGTGGTAAGACATGTGTAGAAGTATTATCATCATATTACCTTTACTGAACAACATGCGCTGAAATGTCCATGCCTAAATCAAATAATCATTGGTCTTAGTAATGTCATAGTATTGGGCATGTTTTATTTTAGTTTTCTTTTTTTTTTACTTTATAGGGTTTTAAACTATTGTTTTATATCTGCTTTGGGTTACTATATAAACACACATACATACCATATTTAATACATGGCAAAGGATTCCCAGAGCGTTACAGGTTAGCTAAAGAGACAGCACAGCAAGGCTGCTAGCTCTGATGCACAATTTGTCTGACTGAAACTTCGAAGTGAGCCATCCAATAATATCCATGGCATAATGGTGATGTACCAATGCTGATGAGTCATTGTTTAGTCAAAAAAGCAAACAAAGCCTTTTACACGTATGAAGTAGCCCAAAGCCCCGCCTGCTGTAATACGTACATTACCAAACTTCAAAACTAGAAACAAAAAATCATAAATATGTGTCCAGAAATAATGTACAATAT